CTAAAGCGTCTATATTGTTTTAGCACTAACCACGAACAACTCCGAATTTAACCCAATGAATAAGACGTATAATTTCTTTCGGTAACAAAGATGATGTGGAAAGAAAATGCTTAAAGAACGTAAAATGAGTGTTCAAATTCATGTATTTTTGATCCTACAGTCATTAGCACACTTCCTCTCTACTTAGAATCGTCTTAAATGTCATGTCTTGTGACTATATTTACGATTGATTGGTATCTGAACGGACTAATTACACAGAAGCAATTGCATCCCTTTAATGCTTGTTAAAGAACCATGTTCGGTTAGTTGTTTTGTTTTAGCTAAACCGTTAAGTTCGAGTGTTAATCGATATTTCAATATGACAATACATGTAGGAATCGACCAATAGACAAACTGAATGAATTAGTTGCAATTGGATTGGAATCAGATGGCATGGCTCGGCCTTGCAGGCGTGGTCACTCTAGAGTGTTGTCTTACATCCTTTATTTTTATTAAATATATCGTTCTATCTCTAGCTTAAGTTTGTTCTCCATCATATATTGGTGACTGTTACGATGCGATGAGTTGGTATAGACAATGATGTGTCTTCCACGTACGATCTTATAGATTAGGCAGTTACATCATGACAAATCTACAATTTTAGGATTAAGTCTATTAATAAAGCAGTATTAATAACGAAGTAGACCATAGTTCTACAGATTTGCGTTCAACATATAACACTTGGAGTAGGTCATTTTATAGTGAACGCGGGAAGAATTGATCGAAACGTTATAGATCGGTCATGCAGGCGCGTTCACCATATGCTTCCGCCTTTGTATGAAACATATCACTCTCTTCCTAGTTCAAATGAGTTCTTCAGAAATGCCATGCGTCATGTTGCTAATCGTCACGATAGATGAGTCAGCATAGAGAATGATGTGACTTCCACATAAGATCTTATAGATTACGTGGTTACATAGTGGCATATCTACAGTTTTGGGATTAGGTCTATCATAGTAGTGCAAGTACCGAACTAGAGCATGATAACACTGGGTCCTTCGTATGTTTTTTCCAGATATTATCACCACCACTCAACAAGGGAGAAAACCACCTTTTCAGAAGTGATGTCTTTGAAGTTTACTGTTTCTGGTCATCGATTGAAACGGTCTACAGACGCTTAGATGTAAGGGTATCTGTTTGAATCTGGTAATGGTCCTACCAAATCAAGATAAACATGGTAGAAAAGAGTTTCGGCAGTCTTGCGAGAGTCTAAGGGACCTTTGTTCTGTTTAGTCACCTTTGATTTCTAGCAGTTTATACTGAAGTGTGACCACTCCCTCACGTTTTATTCATTCCAGGTCAACAAAATTTTTCTGAGATGAGACTGATGGTTGCTCAAACACCTGGATGAGAAAGTTTGTACAACGTTTTGAAGACATCATGTCGATAATGTTTCGACACGATTGGACAATCCCTACGAGCAGGCGTTACAAAGCAACATTTTCATACCTGTTCCCATCTGTTTGATCTATAGAGGCTAATTTCCCCTATATCTGACTCCAATAAATAATATCCCGTTAACTGAGTATTTAAGGCAGGCTAAATCTCCCAGTAGAATTGTGGGTTTACTCGAGATTATTCAAAAGCCTGAACACCAGTTATAGAGATAGTTTATTGTTAAAGATTGGTAAAATCTGCAAGCGTACGGGAAGCAGGCACACAGCGAAGACGAGTAAGTATGTATGTGTATGGATGTTAAATATCCATATATATTTATGAGTGTTAATCAAGTGTGGATAAATTATTGGTTGTCTGTGTATTACAACCAATGGGAGAATAGATTCAAGATTGATGTGTAGACATGTGCTCAATCAGACTCACACAAAAATTTACATAGTGGATTAAATGTCTAAATTACAGTAAGCAGATAAATAATACAGTAGTTGAATGGGCTTACTATAGATCCGTAGTTTTCAGGGTTGTCAAATGTAACTTCTGATGAGGGCCAGTTTCTTCATTTTGAAACTGGGGGAGTTTAAGTTCAAATCTTTGGAGACGGTTCATAAAAGTTGTACACAACGAGGCGCCTGCCGCTATATTTTTTGCCTTGGAAATATGTATATCTGTAGTAAACCTCGAAAAGTGTTCCGGTCATCGAGAATTACGAGTACGTGTATGAAGACGAGCTTAGAGAGAAGATAAGAGGTTTATTGCCGGTAAACAGAGGGAATTCCGGACCTTCCACAGAGTGTTAAAACTGCCGTAGGGCGTAATACATGACCAAGTTTTCCCTGCAGAAAGTGCTCTACTTCGATTTAGTGTCTTTCAGCCTTCTCGAGAGTAATGCCAAAGATTGCCAGTCGTTGTTTGTCCTTTGTTGTAAGACTTCTCCAACTGTCTAAATGCATATGCCCAGTTCGATAACAATGGATGCCTTGATGTTCTAGTGTGCGAGCAATGTTGCTTTTGCGATAATTTCTTTACCTGTGGAGAACGTTCTTTATCGATTTAATCCAAGTTTATAAGTCTCGCATTTCCATGAAGTTGGTCTGTTAAGGGATTTATGAAAGACGCGAAATTCTGTATGGACCATCTATAGAAACCTATCAAGCCGTTGAACGTGCGTAGTCGCTTGACGGTGAACGATTATGGGCAAATCAGAATGGCTGCCACTTAGCTATCCGGAGGGCGAGTGCCTTGAACATCAATAGTATATCCGAGAAAATCAAAGAAGTCAGATCCAGGTTGACATTTCTGAATGTTTACAGTAATGCCGTGCTTTTTCAGTTGTACTAAAACAATGTCCAGATACTGTAGACGAGTTTCTCTGTTCGGAATTGCAATCAGGCAGTCATCTACATACGCATGCAAGAAGTTTCGACCTCGAAAAACGCCATCGATGAATCTTTGGAAAGTTTGTGTAGCATTGCTTAAACCAAAAGGCACGCTCAAAAATCCGTAGTCTCCGAAGGGAGTGATGATAGCCGTTTTAGGTGTGTCTTTCGCAATGACAGGAATTTGATTATATGCTTTAACCGGGTCGACATTTGGGAAATTTGTTTTACTTTATTATGGTAGTTTTCAGGTCGTGGGTGTTCGCCGAGGGATAACGATCGTGAGTGATCATCGCATTCAGTCGTCGTTCATCATCAGCTGGACGCCAGTCGTTGCTGTTCTTTTTAGGGACCATGTGCAACGGAGATGCCCATGAACTGTTTGATGGTCGAATAAATCCCAGGTCTACCATGTGATATATTTCGTTTTTGGACAACCTTGTGGCGTGTGTAATTACTGGTTACTCTGTGTTCACCGGCCACGGTTACAGTTGATGTATGTTGGCTGGTAATTTTCCCGTGAGCTTTTTCATGACGGAAAGTCTGAGGAACTAAGGGGCTATCTACAATTTCTAGAAGACATACCGTGGGTGTTCTGGTGCCACCATCGATCATAGTTATCTATCTCTCATGGTCTAGAGACAGATCTTTCACGTCACGGGCTTTTTAGGCAGCGTCCGTGATTATGATGAACACTGAGATAACGAGTCAGATTATAACAAAGGTCTTCGGTGTCGATTTGTGTTGTCTGAGGCTTTTTTGACAGAACAAAAATCGAAGCCTGTGGCTCTAGTGATCTCCGGAACCCGTCGACAGACGAAGCAAGTTCGTCTACGGCGTTATTTTGGGATGAAGTAAGAACCGCCTGGACCTGTTGGGAGAGCTTGAACTCGAGGAGCTTTCTAAGCAGACCCTCATCAAATATCCGTTGACCAATGACCTCAAATTCGTAGAAATATTCCTGTTGCCGAGCAATTTCGCGACTCTACCTCCTGGAAAAGTTGGTCTACCTTTGTCGATGTTTAAGAATGGCCTACTTTAGAGTGTCGTAAGTTCCCGAAACATCACTGGTGAACATGATTGGTGTGACATAACTGTTAAAATAGAATGGTAGTGCCTTGACTACAACAAAGAACTTTACACGAGGGTTTGCCACCCCGTGCTCGAGAAATTTAGCTCTTGGGTAGCAAAACTAGGCTTCTATATCATCGGGCCAGAATGGCATGATTTGAATGATGAGGGGTGAAATAATCAAAACCTGGAATAATTCGGGTGTTCGTTCCGCAATAATGAAGATAAAATATGTCAGTGGGTGGATGAATATATCCCAAAATACAATAACGACACTACCATACGTAAAAGTAAAAAAAATGAAAATATTATATAAATTTTACAACAAGGAACGGATTCACTGTATACGGGTTGAAACGCCAGATCACGTCGGGCTCACCACTAAAGATTCCAAATGTATTCGGAGTTCGACAACTTCTCTTTACGTAAGACTTTTATAATTAGAGTATACTAACACAGTCATATCAGAAGTCAGAAATAAAGTGGTTCTAAGCTGACCAGCAGTTACAAGGAGGAGCGTGGCACGACTTAGCCACTCGCGATCCGGCGCGTATGTGTGATCGAGCGCCTTCAGCTAGGGTTTTCCAGTAAAGTTGATGTGGTCAGCATCACTGTCGAAAACTTACTGAGCTATTTTGAGGATTTATTGACCGCTACATACGTGATAACTCACAACAGCTGGTAACTGAAATACCCAGAACCCTGTCAAATATCACTTTTCTTCTATTCCACAACATAAAGTTTACGAGGACATTTTAAAAAAGTTCACAAACTCAAAACAAATTAGTTTACAGACGACTATCAACTTGCCTATTGGAAACTATAAGTCGATATGTGAATGAAGCTTCATCTTTCGATAAATCCAAAATAAATTTGGGTTAGCTGAGAGACTACCATTATCAAGACTCATACAGGCCATAAAGCATCCTGTCCTTCCAAATCAAAACTGAAACTTATACATTGTACACCAGCCCGCCATTTCGGAGCCAGGACAAAAGCTTCTTCTGGAAGAAATCCGTTTGGGTTGTATCAAGGTAAACTTATCTGCATGGTGTTATATATTCAAGTCAGAGAAGTCGTTGAGCAGATAAGATTTTCCAAGAAGTGGTTATTCATATGACTTCTAAGAGGCTACCCGCTGACACTTGTGACAGGCCGCTTTACAAAATAGTGGTTGTAGGTGATGGAGGTGTTGGAAAGTCTGCACTAACAATCCAGGTAACAAAACCAGATGTATATTATGCCATTTAGTACTTCCAGAGAATGTTTCTTGAAGAACATGATCCTACGATTGAGGACTCATACATCCAAAACGCTGAGATCGATAATGAGCTGTGTATGTTGTATGGTAAGTCCTTTGATTTTATTATCTCTCGTGTGCATGGCATGGCAGTAAGTCTCCCTTTCTTGTCTGTTGTTTGGGACAGAAAAACAAGAGAATAACTGAATCAGAATCATTAGCTACACCACTTGTAGCGAAGGATATTATGTGCCTGTAAATTTACTATGATACTGCAAATTTATCGACGATTTTGCGCCATTTTATGTTCATACCCCATCAAGCACTACTTACTACATCTATTTTTAGCAATGAATTTGCAAATATCAACGATATAGTATGTTAATTCGTGTGCATGTATCATAAGAGAAATAAGTTAGGCTAATAGCGTTTATGTTGAGCTTTATAAGCTTCTGTAAGCATCTTTGTATACCAAGTAGTTAGGTGTGGGTATGAACAAATACCATGACCATTAGCAAGTATTTATAATTGGTTCTATGGTCTTGAAAAATTGGCCACTACATGCTTTGCGAATGTGACAGCAACCCCATACTCTGCGTTGTTTGCCGACACTGAGGAATAAGTAACAGAAACGAGTGGTCGGTCTATGATAGCATCACTGTTTGGAAGATAACTGTACGGGTAGTAACTATTGATCCGTTATGTCTTCTTGGTCGGGGTTCTGATTTCCGTGGGACTCAGTAACTTAATGCATTTCCAGAGACTAAACATACTGGAATCCAGTGATGATCCAACTGTAGCTCTTACTTAGTCATAAGAAAGAGAAACACGTTTTAATATGAGAAGTTTCTCATGAATGCATTTCAAATGGATTATGCTCTTCTCATGGGACATCACTTTTGTCTACTTATTAGTTGAACTTTTGACTTTTCTATTGTTCCGTGTCAAATATTCTGTTACTTATTCGTTTGGTCCTCTGTTGTGCCAAATTTACTTATGAATGAAAATAGACGATAAAGAATGATGGGGACGAAGTCGATTGTTGAATACATATTTTTTTTAATCAAAGAACTTAAATATAGAACAACGCGTGTTTAGTAAGACTCATAGAATAATACAAACGTGTGTTCTCGGGCCCGACGACTGTAGTAACATATGAAGCGCTTGTAGAGACCATTAAACTGCTGCCCAGCGGCACACTGCCCACCAACAACGTAGATCAACTCTGGACTGGATTTTTCGAGTTGGCGTGCCTGTAAATAAAAGTGACGATAACCAAAAGTTCTTGAGGTCTTTAAGAATGACTAAGATGATTGTGCGTCGTTCGGTGACATGGTTTAAAATCGGTTATGGTGACGAAATTTCTTTTCTTTTTTATCTTCCCCCTTGCTTAATTCTTTCTATTTCCTAATTACGAACCACTCATGTCTACTTTCTTACCTCATCAAGATTATCGTTGCCCTGACTCATGTTCTATATCTCTTAATTGCTTCATCTATGATGCAGCACGACAACCAGTAAATGCATATTTGTATCAGGTTCTGGTCGTTTATGACTGGTTGATTAAGGATGGTGTTCTGAAATATTTTCTGAACGAACTGAAATGCTAGTTGCAATCGGGAAACGAAAAGTGGTTCCGTCCGGTTGTTTATTTACTTATTTAAACAAGCATTGGCCCAGAAAGGTACCAAATATATATGCGTCACATTTCGTCATTCGATATGTGTGAGGGCTAAATACTGCATGGGTGTTCAAACCGAAGCAGGATTCCGTCCGATTAATTTCCATTGCTGATCATTCAAGCTCATAAAGACAAAAAATCTCATAGGAGTCGGTTTGATTAAAACCTTTCCCGGGATTCCAGCTACTGTTATTATTTTAGGCTCTACTGCTGTTCATAAGCAGCCAAGAACGTAATCTGTATTCTACCCATTCTTAGATCATAAAAGACATCTACCGTTTTGAGACTATCCTCGTATTCATTTACCTGAAAATATTTAAGTCGATCAAAAGAGCTTATGACGATCTGTGCTATTAAAAAAATAATCGAGTAAGTAACTGACACTACCAATGGCTTCTTACTTTAAAAAATTATGGTCAGGTTGTAATTTATAATAGTCTGTCGTCATAAGTAACCAGGGTTTTATATCCGATTTCCAAACTTCTATTCAACTACACCATATATATGCTACTAGAGGCGATACCTTTTTATATGACTCAAAAATAAATCTTAATCTAAAATTCTTTCATCGAGTCCGAGTAAACAACAGACGTCTTATTTAGTAAAGATCATGAAAAAATACACCTAGTATTCTGTAAACGCCGATTGTAATGCCTAAAGGTTTGTAATATGACTCTCACCCTTTAAACCGAGATCTGTCCAAAACCTGTTGAAATCAGAAACTACGGTAGTAAAAGGGAGTGAATCAATTGAGCTGATTGACCTCTTTATATAGTAATAGTAATCTCCTTACCAGATGTTTCATGTTTTAGTTGGTTGGTGTCCTGCAAAATGCCTTCCCCAATACAAAATGTTCATTTGTCCACCTAATGTAGGTGTGATGTTTGTTTGTTTACCAACGCCCACGTATATTGCGCTTACATTCACTATTATGCAAAATTGAAGCATAACACCTGAGAGTATAAGAAAATGTTGCAACCCGTTTACCAAATACAGGTTCGTGTACTCGGGTTCGAGTCACTTTTTGTATTAGGGCTAGTGACAATGACCGGCTACCCAAACTTGAACCTATGGCCTAACTGCTGTAATTCAAACGCCTTAACTTCTAAACCACGGCTCCACTAGTGTAATAAAAACATACAAAAGACAAATAGTAGATCGCAAGTGTCTACAAAGCACCGCTTGTATGTGATGGAACCATTAAAGTAGTACTGATGTCATAGGCAGAGTACTATGTAATTGTAAGTATAAGATTTATTTATAAAAACTTAATCGTAATTATACACAAAATGAAATCAGTTCATGAATTTAGAGGCTAACGATCAAACTAATGGAATGCAGATTTCATGTTTAACGTTTATTAGTTAACGACTATAATCTAGGATCGAAAAACATAGCACAAATGGCTAAACCTTACTATTACATCCTCAATTTCTCATACTGCATTAATCTGTGACATTTTCGTTTTCACTCTCTTGTTGTTCGTCTAGTTTTCCTTCTTAAATCTCAATATTTTCGTTTAGTTATTTCAGCTGTTAGTTTCCTCTCATCATACTGATGGAAGTGTGCTAATGTGGGCTGATACAAAATTTCCCATTGTTCCACGTTATCAATATCTCTTCTACCTCCAGTTAATCTTATCTATTGTATCCTATTTATTTTGGTTGTTGGTTAGATATCTCACGCACATTTAGGATCTGATGTAAATGACTCACCTTTTTTGAACAACTGTAAATCAAGCGATAATCCAGATTTATTTAAGACCTCGACCTCATTTAAAAATAATGCAGATTAATATATTAAGCCAACGTTTTTCCCGTTTGTTTCCAGTACTGGATACTGCAGGACAGGAGGAGTTTAGTGCAATGCGAGAGCAGTATATGCGCATAGGTCAAGGATTTATCATTGTATACTCAGTGACAGATCCTCAGAGTTTTGAAGAAGTTCAGAGATTTCACAAAGAAATTTCACGGTGTAAAGACTGTGGTTCTTATCCTATGATATTGGCAGCAAATAAGATTGATTTGTCTCAACAACGCCAAGTTTCGGAAGAAGAGGGTAAACGTCTAGCCACTTATCTCCAAGTAAGTTTTTTATTTTAAACTGTATCTTTATTTCAATCATTTCTAATTATACACAACTACTCAACTGTAGTATTACTTTGTATAACCTTACAATTGATATAGCTTTCTCCATAGGAGCAACCAAGTAACTTATCGTTTAATTGGGAAACCATTATAGGTCATCTAGAAAACGATAGCTGCATATGTCATCACTGCTTTAGCCAGTGTATCTTGTAATACATCATACCAATTAAAGGATAAGTCCTCTGGTTTTGTCAAATCTACGTATTCAACTGCTTCCGTGGAGAAAGCTATATCGGGTGTCCAACCAAGCAACTGAGTCAACGAGTTAGTGTACACCCTTTGTGGTTAGTAAAGGGCATGACCAAAACAATAGGAAGCTTCGTTGTATCATACTGACGGGCTGTTGCTCAATTTTTGATTGATTGGTTTCGCCATGTGTATGCGAAAGTTGAAATTCTGTTCAGGTTATTCGAGTAAGATACACAGGCAGCGACAATAAAAATATGTCAATTGTGCAGCTAATCTGTTTGGCGTTATTTACTTCGGAAAACTTTTAGCGACGACTGAATATAACACTCTTAGTATTCATCCAAGTTATATGTAAATAATTTTCACGAAATCTACTAATTTGTTACAAGTGGGAGATGTATAAAATTCACAACGTGTACACTAGCTAGCATAGAATTAGTTCCTAAAGAGTCTACAAATAACTAAATAAAGACATCTCATTAATACACATCGCTCGTGACTTAGTCTATCTAGTGTTATTTATTTAACTAATTTTCGCATATCAGATTTCCGTGTTAATATTAGCTTGGTCAGTCGATGATTAATGCATTGAATTAATGCACACATTCGAATGTAAATTCAAGCATTTTCTTCATTGATTTTATGCATCAGGAAATATTTCCAAATCTTTTTAGTAACTATAAATGAAAGGGATAAAATAAAGATTTGTCACCATCTATATCAAATGACTGTACAGATTGGAATGTCATTTTTCTAGTTCATTTCATCAATGTAAGTACAAATTGTAAGTTGTCATACTAGTAAGTTGGTTGTATGATAATTATTTTATTCCATGCTTGTAGTATTTTCTTCATAAAATCGACACACAAAGCTAGTATTTTACAGTTTCCTACAAACGGCTTATTCCATAATGGTATCAATGATACAAATAAAAGTAAATAATTTCATTATAAGCTTTAGTAATTTCATGAGAAATGAACAATCTTTATCTCTCCCCCTAATATATATACACTAGTCGGTTTTTACTGATACAATTTGAAGATTTAAAAACCATATTTTTGTGTTATGTACAAAGTAGATTAAGGTTTGTAGTTTTTATTTTCTAAAATGCTTTCTTTTTCTTCCAAAATTTCTAATTAGGTTCCTTACATTGAAACAAGTGCTAAAGATCCTCCAGTTAATGTAGACAAAATGTTTCACGATATGGTACGAATTATCAGGTATGTTATATAAACAGTTCATATTACTAAGATAATGAACCAATGATGTTCTATAAATTAGTTCAGTGTCTGTGCCTCATCTTTTCTTCACCGGTGCTTCAGTCACTATTTAGGCCTGGAATATTGTAAACATTAATATCTGCCGTTTAACGCATACAAATAAACTAACGTATTAGACTAGATTATTAAAATTAATATCATTCAATAGTACCTGATTGAAAAAGCAAACCAATGTTGTACAACTGCACCCCCAACACTTATTTGGTTAAAGCTGGTTAAGCACGGCACTCTTTACAATTATTTAACTTGAATAATTTGTTTGGTCTTTTTTGATGGACTATTTTTTTATGAGTTAAGATTTTTGCTGGCAATTTGTTTCTATCAACAAAATCACAGTCTCATCTACTCCACACATTCCTATTGCTATGATTGAATAGATTACGAAATCATCTAAAATCGGCGAACGAAACGAAGAATCAGCGACACAACTCAAATGTATGTATACAGTATAAAAATGTCACAAAATAGCATATTAAAAGAGGGAGAGAACCAATGACATTTATGGTCTTTTCAAATGGGAAATACAATCTGAAGATAAAAATGGGCGCTTTTGTCGCGAAAATGAGAAATTCCAATTTTAAAAATTAAATTACAAAAATAAGACGTTTACTAAGTGATTTCTGGTGATCTAGCATCCCAAACACCTCTCTTAACAGCGTACGTTATTGGACTCCATCTGCATCTTGACCGTTGGTCACCGAAGTGACCACTATGTGGAAAGGAGATCAATTTGTTGTTGTACTTTTTCTTGCGTAGGGACTGCAGGAAGGTTGAAGGTATCTAACAGATTTTCGAGTGGGAGATTTCCTTCTGTTGATGGACGATCTGGGGCTAACCGTCTCCGTAACTGGTTTCGGTGTCGAGTTCACTTGTCTATTCCTACCTCTACTTCGTATATGATTTGGCCTAACGTTATGACCACACGTGCTTCAGTTCAAGGACCATGGCCTGCTTTGCATTCCCGAGCAAACACCGAACATCTAACCTCGTACGTTGGCAGTTTCTGGAACTTAGTCTGTGGTGGTATGGTTTTCGGAAGCATCAGCTTGTGGATCGTTCTCAATCTTCTTATGAAGATCTCTGCTACAGACTTTTGTTGTGGTGGCATATCATTCATTGTCGTTCGATAAACGACTAAGAAGCTTTGTAGTGTTTCGTCTGGCATCACTTCCCCTTCTGACTGCAGTAGATCCCTCTTAAACGTATCCACAAACCCTTCTGCTTGACCATCTGACTGTGGGTGGCAAGGGGACGAGCGAAAATGTTTGGTGGCTAACCGTGGGCAGGATTCTTGGAACCGAATGGAAGTGAATTGTGCGCTGATATTTGATATGATTACATTAGGTAGTCCATTGCGGAAGAAAATCCGTCAAGAGCTGTATCGTTTTGGTCGTTGGTGGCCTAATGGGGAGGATTTCTGACCATTTTGGAAACGCAACTATATAAGTAGTTGCGTTGATTGGACCAACGAAGTTAACATGTACCCTGGATCAGGGATACCCGGGCCGTGGCCTTGAAACTGGCAGTATTTTTGTGTTAAACTTCGCCGCTTGCTGACACTGCGTGCATTCACCTACCAACTCCATGATGTGCCGACCAATAAGAGGCCAACATACATAACTTTTAGCTACGGGTTTCATTCTTTTTACACCAAGATGACGAGTACGAAACTGCTTCAGCACCTTTGACCGTAGGGTTTCTAGCACCACCTCCCTCCGAACATCAAGCATTCATTCACGACGGTAGATATTCATTAGATGTAGTCTAGGTATTTCACATAACTAAATTATAATACACATCAAATTAGAGTAAACAATAGAATTCAAATAAGATTTATGACTTAAATCTATCGACTAATCGATGGTTCTTTATCGAAAACTCAAAGTATTTAGTTAGTCATACGTAATTTAACTTCGAATTCAACTCAAACAAACTGGACTTTTATAGGATATTTTTCTAATAAATCAATGCAGTTTAACGAAATAGTATAAATTATTTCTACTTTATCTTATTTATTGAATGACACCTTTGAAGTTTTTGTTTGGTTTTGTCGATTTCTATGGCTTTTTAGCCTAATAATAGATTTGTGTTTCCAAATACTTGAAAATTAAGTTAACTTTTCTGGTTCCAGTCAGCTACAATCAACATTGAACCTGGTACAAATAATACATCAGGTTAATCGGTCATACCATATCAGTTACGGAGAGATGAAAATAACAAGAGGAATATCGAAAGAGTCTTTTCTAATGATATCAATGATAATCATGAGGAAGACTAAATAATGTATTTTGATTATGATTACTGGTCATTGAAGCAAAAACATTTCTTTATATAAGCTCTATTTCAATGTTTAGTAAGAGTGTAGGTCATTTATTAAGTATAGATTTGTGTACTGGGCTTTAGATTTTCCTATCTGTGTAGAAAACCTAATGCTACTACTTACCGGTTTTCCAACGCGAAATGATCAAGGTGAATTTTAAGTTGATTGATGACGCAGAGCCGAAAACTTTAACTAACAAATCCACTGTTTTGTTTCAATTGTTTAGCTTAATAAATGACTGTGACTAGACAAACTAATGAAGATAAACTATTTGATTAATAAAATTAATTATTTTGGTTTCATGTTTTTTTTCTCAGAAAACTGCCTCCACCGCAATTAATCTCGAAAGGTGATCGTAAAAAAGTTCGTTGTTTGTTATTATGACATGTTGGTTGGTGTGGAGGCTAATTAAACTTTTCTCATATACTTAAACAAAGCGTAATCATCTTCAGTGCCTAGGTGCTTCTTCAATATTTGATATCATTGATCGGTATACATCCTGCATACCCCCACCCTGCCTTCTCATATCCTGTTTTCTTCCTAACCGATTCACAATGTGCTTCTAGATTTCTAAACAGATATGTAAAATGGAAATGTTAATGATGGTATTCCAGTGAATTTGGCTAAAATATCATATCAGTTAAACCTGTGATTTGGTATTTACTTCCTCCTACTCTTCATTACCTTCAGTCTCCAGGTTTTTTTAAGCATCTACTACTAATATTTTTGTTATATGCTTTGGAACGATTGCATTAATGCGGTGTTAAACAGTAACCATAATAATAACAACCCAAATTGCGCCGATTCCACCTAGTTAACCACTTATTTCCCCCCATCATATTAAACATGCATACACAAACACTGACATTTTGTACAGGATTTGCTTCGATCTTTTATTTCTCTGTAAAACAAGATTTTTTCCTAACTGTTATCGGTTATTATACTTGTACCTTCCAGTTTCCACTATTGTATCAAGTCTTGCATACGACCACACTAAAGAAAAGTGGCGTTTTCGAATAATGTTGAACTTTAATGCTTCAGTGGTTCTTATGTGGTATCTTGTTCCTTAGTAATATGTATTTGGCTGTTCGTATAGTTTTTATACTTACCTGATCATTTTTTGTACTTATTTAATACCAATGATGTAATAGTTCTGCGTTGTGACTGACTTAAGATGTGATACTAAAATCAACAGTAGTAATAATAACGTTAAGACTTGTATGCTTGTTTTTTTTTCCGTCAGAATCATTTATCTAGGCTAATACAACCACTTTTTGTAAATTCTTTGTTTTCTCTACAATTCCTGCTTGCAACATACACATCTATGACTGATTAAGCTTTTGTTTTATCCTTTGCAAGATGGTCGTGTATATTTCCACTCTGAAAACGTCGATCAGCTTGCTGTCAAACATTTGTGGCTTGATACTCATCCAGTTCTCAGCGTCTTTACATCGTAAATATCAGTTCTTCCTTCTTTCTGTACCTTTCTGTCTCTATATTTGTGTATCCCCTTTTGTCTTTCCTATCTATTAATCCGTCTCGTAGGTGTTGTACATTCTACCTATTGATTACGTTAATAATGTTTTTCTACAATGTTATTGTTACTGATATGGTAATTTTGTTGCTTATTATCATCTACTGGGACGCTCTTCGGTAGTTTAACCGCTTATTTTAACTTCAGGGTGTTCAGTATACTTGTCCATTTGGCTAAACTTCCCAATGCTGTCCATTGTCCATTTGGAAGAGGGCTACATATCAGTCAGTCAGTCAGTCAGTCAGTAAAAACGTAGAACTTCGTATGTACGTACATCAGTTCGAGTTGCCACACCACATTAGCACAGAGATGCAGTTGTCGATTCAAATCCCGTAGTGGTAGAGGTAATAAGAGTATAAGCAGTAATCGGGAAGATTAGGGTTTGGAGATGTTATTTAAAGAGTATAATCCAGTGAAATAATTTTGCAAAGAGGAAAAAAGGGACAAGAAGAATTCAGAAGATTAGAATTTGGGAGAACACAAAGAGCGGATGCACCTGCGCCATTGCAAACGATTTTGAGCCATGTCATTCAGGGTCTAACCATCGGTTGCTATCATCTCGTGGTCCCCAACCAGGTAGTCTACACCTACCAACATGACTCAGTCCGCTTGTCAGTGACTTCATGGACTTGTGCCATGTTTTGGTCTGGCCACCCCTAGCTTTCTTCCAACCTACTCCTATACCACTGAACATCGCACATCGAGGCAGTCGGTCGTTGGGCATACGTAACACGTGTCCCAGCCATCTCAACTGATGAAGTTTCACTACTTCATCAATTGGTTTGCCATCTTTACCTAGTACCCGTGTCCTAACAACTGCGTTACTTACATATCAATGACTTTGTGAATAACTGATTGCACTAGTTTCCAAAGGAAATGGATAAGTGTTTAGTTGTATATTCTGATTGATTGATTGATTACTTATTATTCTGCCTCAAATTCTTCCTTATTAAATCACATTAAGAAAACTTGAGTGTCTATATAAAATGACAATGACCCGAAATGTAATCGTGTCTCATAGAAGTCCATTTGATTTCCTGAAAAAAACTACTTAAAATCGTGTTCATTTCAAAGATATGTTTATATACAGGTGTATTATTTACGTTTTCATCACAATTGATGTTGAAGACATTACGATGGACGAGTTATTATTATTGGAAATTTCAGGAAACATTTGAACTCAGTGTTAATTCTTACTGAGATATCCTAAGCTTGCCTCTTATTGTGTAATACACCATAGAAATAGGAATCTCAGAAATGGTAGGAAAACATGTGGTCAAAGGAGCGTTTAGGAACTAGGGCAGCAGATAGGGCGAATACATTTACCATTTTACCTTCTTCAACCTAGCGAATCAATCCTACCGACTGATTGGAAAACAATACCTAGAGCTTTTTTGTGAAGTTACCAAAATTGGCTAAAAATTAAACTTCTTAATTTGGCTGAGTATATGTATTTTCTAGTCGGTGAACTTGTTTCTTATTCTATTTTCCTTTTAAAAAGATTTTTTGTGCTATTCTAAGTTATATGCACTTGTCCATATATATGATTAAAAAAATATGGGTCCGTAGGCTTTGTCAATGGTTAAATCCTACCTAGTATGTATTTGTAGGAAAATTCAGTTATATCCTTTACAATCCTAAAATTACTAATGATTTTTCAAAGCCTGTAAAATATGATCGGGGGAAATCTCAAACTTCTATATAGTTGTGCCGCTTAAAATTCAAAATTAAAGTAACCGGCAGGTTTACTTAGCATTATACTTAGTACCTCAAGTAAACTAGTAGTTGTTATTTGATTTCCGATATATAGTAGTAAGGTATTACAGTTATATTTTGCTTTATGTCGTCCAAGGTACAGCCGACTCGCAGTATATATTTAAGCGGGCAGTCACTTTTTTGTGTCCTAACTCGTAGGTGAAACATCAAGCTTTCTTTCCAAACAACATGCTGAAGGGCGATTGTTGGAGAAGCGTGGATATGTATTTTTTCACTAGCACTAGACTTAAATATTTCAAACAAGTCCTTTCTATTTTGGTGTAAGGGATTGTAGAGACTGTTGAGCATCGTACTTTACATCAAGAACAAGCTGCACTCGAACAACAATCAATGAACACTAGGTGGATGTCTCGTCCCAACATGGGGCTCAGCAGCGTGTGTCGATGAATTCGCCGTGGTCAGACCAAAAATCTTCAGTGAGTGCTTAGCCACTAAGCCGTTATGGAATGGTATACACTTTCAACCTCAATTAATTTGTAGCATTGTCTCCCAACTACTTCATTCGACACGTCTGAGCTTCACTGGTCACTAGAACTCCATGAATTACCCTTCGAAATTGGCCACTAGTAAGAACATAATTTTTACTAGTATTAATGTAAGCGGTTTGTAGGGTTTGGTGATTTTTGAATTTACAACAAAAATAGATTAATTAGACAACTATTGAAAATCCGGAGGCATGTTACTGCATATTTCGAAGTTAGCACCCGATCTCCTGAGTATTATACAAATTTCTGTACAATGACACGGTTGTTAACAGATAAGTACCTAGCCTACAATATAGAATATAATATTATTTGGTAAAATACTTGTTTATTCGTTATTTTATGAACCTTCGAACTTAGTGTTCTTACACCGTCGTACATTTATTTTCATTGTTGTGAGGTTGTCTATCCACTTTTTGGTGAGTCTAATACCATCTTTAATGTGAGACTGCAAACATATACTTGTGCAGTATTTCATGTTATTGTGTACTCTAAAAATATACTGCCCGGACATAAGATGACATCCTTGTAATCATACTGAAAATCAAGGGAACAGAAAAACTGGAATATCAAAAGAATTAGTTGATGTCTTAAAATTATCTGTCGAGTAATTCTTGACGCACCACATATAGTCTTTGCTACCCAGGCGCAGATATGTCGTGTGCATTCAAAACATGATTTTATGAATTTGGGTGGCAGAGGGTCGATACATAAATTGTGGCTTAACGTTCAGAAAAAGTTACATTAATTACTGAATTGTATATTAACACGTTTACCGAACAGAAAATAAATAAATAAGTTATAGTAAGATCATTGTTGACTAAAGAAACACTTACCTAATTTTCTTACTCATTGTTTCAAAAGGATACAGTCGGATATCTCGCAATACCTTGGTAACTTGTAATTTTCGTTATCCCACTTTTGTTCTCATCTTTGAGCTTTACCCATTTTACTACTGAAATTAATTCTCATTTCCTAGAATTCCCACACTAACATATTTGTTTAATTCGACATTTTATAGTCTTCCTATATTTATTGTTATCTGGCTAATCTTTGTTATTATGACATAAAATACGTACATTGATTGCAGTGGATTATTATTTCTAGGCTGTAAGCAGCTGAAAAGAAATCACGAGATAAATGAATTCATCATATTCTACTACGTTTGTCGTTCTTGCTCTAGACAAACACAATTTCCATCATCCCTTAATTGATAGACGGATATCTCACCCTCGCCATAGGTGATGTAAGTTGGCAAAAGCCAAACGAGCTTTTTGAATCCGTGTAGGGATTTCGTCAGACACTAACCCATTAGGGCTGATCAGACTTCAAAGATAAGCGAGGTTGTCGACGCGTTTGACTACCTCACTCCCACAGGATTTATTGTCTAAACTCAAAATTTACATTCACGGTGGTTAAATCATTAAAATCTCCAGGTCCTATAACACATTCATACTTAGCACCAAGTGTTTGAGCATTGAAACTCGGTATAAATGAAGAATAAAAACCACAAATCGACGGCATTTAAGTGCTCCACAAAAGTCACGAAATATTTCATAGAATATATTTAAGTAAGAGTTGCGTACAAGAAGCAATTTTCATCTGTATATTCCATAAATTAAGTTGTAGATCTTATTTCGAAAACAATGAATATAATATGCAGGGCACAGAAAGTCGATGGTACGGTTGACTTGAAATGAAAATATCAATTGCCCACAAATCACATATACAGTGTATTTAGATTTAGATTATTTGAATGTACTTAATTGATCGTAATCAACACAGAATCTGGCAATGTGAATGAGCTTGTTGCCATATAAATTAGCATAACGAGATAGAAATTAACGGGATTTGAATGCCTTAAATCTCAGAGTTGATGCGACGCAGCTAAGGCTTGATGGAGTGAACATTCGAGTCCCACTAGTTCAATGACACATTTGAATTCCGCCACATTTGTTTGCATAAATAGGTTTTGTCTTTATCCATTCGTGGTTATTTCGGCGATATACTTGTGCTTTTCATAAATCGTAGACTTATGGGACAGCGTGTTCAACTGTGATTTGGCAAAAATTGCTTTGGATACACTCCGTAGGATCCTCCCATATTATCTTAATACCTTGTCCAATACATGAGTATGGCTACCAGCCGGTCAAATAACAATATCCCATGGATTTGCTTTCAGAAACCTGAGGATAAATATCTTAAAATTTTACAAGTTAATGAGATTCTAAACAAAAATAACTATCAGTAGATATATAAGAAATTCTGTCTAAATTTGATCGAATAGTTTCACAGTATTTGGGCGCCGAATTGGTGTGAGACATTAAACATATCAGGAGTAAAACATATATCATACATGTTACCCAAAATCGTTTCTCAACATAAAGAATTGACTGGTACTTAAAATCAGACTATTAGAATTCAACTCTCGAAATATGTGGTACGCTAAGATAAAAAAAGAACAAAACCACACATGCAACTCATTGTGGCTTTTGTTCGATATTATTTTAGTTTTTAATTCAACGTGATAATTAATCAGCATTGTATTTGTTTTAGTTTCAGTGCGATATTTATTTGTAGAGATACTAATAAATTTATGCACACTAGTGACTGGCTTCAAGATGTATATCCTAAAGTTCTAGTGAGAAGCAGTGACCAGTGGATTTCAATCAGGTCTGTTGTGAGATAGTAACCCACTGATGACAATGATGGATGTATCACTCAATTTCGTGGATTATTTGAAGTTAGACATTAACACCGTTGGATGGCGGCTCAGTGGTCTAGTGGTTAAGCGCACGCGCCCGAGACTTATGGGCCTTGGGTTCGAACCTCGCGAAGGGCGGGACCGTAGATGCGCACTGCTGAGGAGTCCCACAATAGGACGAAACGGCCGTCCATTGCTTCCAGGTTTTCTAGCTTCAAATGAATCATGATCTTAACCATTGAAATTACTATAATATCCACAATACCCCTTCTGATATTAATCAATGAGTGTTAGTAAAATCAACATATGTGTGTTTTTGTCTAAGGACGTGTTTTAAGAACATTTAGACAATTAATAAATCTTTATGTTTGCACTACTCATCGTGTGTAATGACAAGATCCTCGTTTTCAATGCATAAGGAAAGATATTATAAGAAAGCTTAAAACAATATTTAAATGTTCATGATTTAATCGTGTTCAGATACCGTGTGTACCGATTAAACGTCGTAAATTAACAGGAAAATAGCTATAACCAATTTCACAAAATATGTAATTTAATTGATTCATACAAAGAGAAAGCATAACATATTTATGTTTCTTACATATATATCAGTCAGTCAGTAACAACGCAGAACTTCGTAAGTACGTACATCGGTTCGAGTTGCCATACCACACTGGCAAAGAGATACAATTGTCGATTCAAACCCCATAATGGTAGATGTAGTAAGAGTATAAGGAGTCATCGGAAACATTAGGGTTTGAAGAGGTTATTCAAGGAGTATAATCCAGTGAAATAAATTTGGAAAGTGAAAAAAAGGACATAAAGAATTCAGAAGATTAGAGTTTGAGAGGACAAAAAGAATGGATGCATCTCCCCTATTCCAAACGATTTTGAGCCATGTCATTCAAAGTCTCTAACCATCGGTTGCTATAATCTCACGGATCCCAACCAGGTAGACTACACTTACCAACATGGCTCACTCCACTTGTTAGTTAGTTTATGGATTTGTGCTCTGTTTTGGTCTGACCACCCGTAGCTTACTATATACAAACATGTATATCATTTAATGAATTATATCACTTCAAAATGATAAACAACTATTTTTACTTTAATGATCATTTAAAATCTAAATTGAATGTATTCAATTTGTAATGATCCAAAATCTGTAGAAATTATTATCGGTTAAATGTTTTAGTTGTTCAATTAAAAAAGTAACAATACTTTAATATAGAAAGAGAGAATAAAACAACAACAATTAAATTTCAGATATTTGTTTCACCTTAATAAATTTAAATCTAAGAAATATTTTCGATAAGACTATAATTTATGTATGAACTAATCAGGTTTAAGATAATAGATCTTAGATTGTAGCGCAAAATTCATTCAACTATTTGGTTAAATAGAGTTTTTGGTATTTTATCTAATATCAGCAACGTGATGAAAACCTTAAATTTAATTGCTGATTCTAATCATCTATTATAAATCATAATCTTTATTCTTTACACAGGTTTATAACTCTTATTTAGTTCGAGTAAGTTTGTAATGTCCGTTACTATGTTTAGCCCTCATACTAGCCTCTGGACAGGTCAATTTATCCAATCTTCTTAAGTCATGTTTTAATCTTGTTAATTATTCACTTATCAACCCTGACTGTTTTTAGATGAGCGTATGTGTATGCACTTCTTATCCTACTCATCATATATCTGTAGGTTATTTTTGTGTAACTATAAATATAGATTAACGCTTAGTTAAATGGAGTTGACTCATACGCCTTTTCCACTGCGCCTCGTTTCGCTTCACTCTCTTCTTTTTGATTATCTAATCTTTTGTCTGGATAAAAGATTGTACGAAATACACATATTCGAAATTCATTCTCGTATTTGACTTACTTAATTCCATTATTCACTAACATAGACTAAGTCAATGATTATATATGAGAATATTTGGAATATATATTTCGATAGCAATCATTCAATAACGATCATTTGTCCAATCTAACTACAGTCAGAATTAGGGCTACAAAAGTGGTGATCCCATCGATAACACCATCCGATCTAATTGACATCAAAATGAAGGACCCCATAAGTTGATAGACATTTTCAAAGTTACTTACGAGACGTTCATAACTTTTCTCAATTGTAAATTTAATAATAATGAAAAAAAGTAAGAAATGAAATTCATTCCAGAAAAAAAAACACAAAATAAACAGAAATATATTACTTATTCAATTTAATCTCATTAATTGTGATTTAAAATTTACATTAATACAAATATTTCTAGAATTATTTACTAAATTATAAGCATTATCATATGAATAATTATAAAATTTCATTAAATAAGCAATTATAATAGATGGTGAACGTGAAATACCAGCTTCACAATGTATAAAACAACAACCCTTAGTTTGTTTTACAATATTTAAAAAATTAAAACAATCATTCAAAATATCATTTAATTGAAATGTTAAATTATCATAAACAATAAGTGATAAATAATGAAAATATTCAGGAAAATAATTTGGTATTATATTTGAAATAAGATTAATGATATGTGTAACATTATTATTGTTTAACAAATTTAAATTTTGAGCTACATCAACAGAACCTACAATAAGAAAACATGTAAACATATAGATAATCAATTAGCAAAAATGTAGAACTTCATACATTGCCCCCAAATACCCTGGTACGGCTGAGAATGGGAAGAGTTAGCTTTCCCTCTCGAAATGCTTTCACATAGCAACCACCGGGGAAGTCCTACACACTGCCTTCTCGTGGCGGTGTTGTTTACGAAACTGAGAGGACGAAAGGCGAATGGAAAGATTATGGTTATTAATAATTTCATATATATTCAATTAAATTAACTTACCAAATAATATTGTAAATTCTGGAAGTTCTATTTTTCCTATTTGTAAATCCAGATTAAAATTTGGAATAAAACCATAAGAAGAAAAATTAGATTCTAATTGACTAGATTTATCATTTTTTTCAATTTCTGATCCATATTTATTCATTTTAATAATTGATCCATCTAATTGTCGAACTTCTATAAGTGTTGGTTTTAAAGAATTCACATTGAAACATTGAATAGCATCTTTTATATTATTCATAAGTTGTTTTATTGAATTAAACCTGAAATATTGAATTGAACAATTTTGGCAAATAATTTAATTTAAATGTAAATTATTACATAACATGATTTGAGAATATTTAATTCTACAAACATTTAATAAATTCATCATATTAAAACTACTTTTCTTTTCTGAACAAATTTAAATTTAATAAATTTTGTGTGTCAGGTATACTGAAATTTCGTTCTTATTGTTACCCTTAACATTATTGTTGTTTGATTAGTTTATTCATGTTTTAGTTAGCCTATCTCTAAGGATATTGTAAATGGATGTATATAGAATGGTTATGCCTTTGTTTTATCTTATATTTTAGTCAAGGTACTTCAGCCTAAATGAGTCTAGAAGTGGATAAATGTTGTTATTTCCAACAACCATGGCATCCAGTATTTCAGAAGACGAGATTTCTAATTCAGATATAGCAATTTACATAAATTTATGGTCAATACTAATATTAAAAATATCAACGATTGATAATAACTTTTCCAACTACGGGGCAAAAAACTAGTGTTAGTTGTCAACAGTAATATGAAGCTTTTAAAAATTCAATCTAAATACATTTCCACAGGATAACCGTACGCTAACAGCATAATGATAACCCACTCTTATCATTTAAATCAAGACAGAATGGTGAATAAGTGATTACACGAGTCACAGTTCAACTACTATCGAGAAAGTTCAAATACTATTACACTTGATCTAGGAAAACATTTATAACTGCCAGACGTTACAAAGTGTAGCTCGAACCTGAGAATATCAACCCAAGCTACCCACGTTGCTATAATACAAAACCATTAATGAGCATTTTGTAGAAAATCCAGGATATCTGTGTAATTTTATACAATAACTAATTCAGACAAGCTATCACTGAAGTTGTTAAAAAGTTTGATAGTTATATATGAGTGGTGTTACGTTCAGACCACCGTTTTCTGTGCACAGTCCATAGAAAATTGGTGACCAAGTAATTAAGGATATAACTTTATGTTTACTCTTATATTTGTCCTTGCAATCATATCTAGAATAAATTACATATTCTGTACACTATAGATTCGCAGTAACTTCGTGAATACAATTGGTCAGGGTAAAGAGCTATCATTTGGTATCTTTGACCTCATCAGTAGTAAAAATTTAGATATAAATGGCAAGAAAAACTGGCCATTAAGATCATCAAAACCCAATAGTTTAGTTGCATTGAAATACTCACAAACTTTTTGTAGGAGAAACTAGGCACAGTAAACTTTGTGTTTACGGAAGCATAAAAAATGTGGTGAGGTATATACGAGTCGAATCCAGTATTGTTGATTATCTTGATTTTAGTTACATCGAGAACTAATTCCCTCCGATAGATAATCAAATATTTGTTTATTAATTTGTATATGATCTCTTTTTAACAACATCTGCAACCAACCATAACACTTTTGAAACATATGTCGCATACGAATAACTAGTAATTCATATCGACACTGTAACTTTGTAAGGTTAATAACCGTGACAAAATCTTAGGTGTTATAGTTAGGTTATCAAGGTATGTTTGGATTTAGCAGGGTAACTAAATATTTTTACACACTAGACATAATTAAAGTGATTTATTTAGAAGAACGACTCATCAATACATTTTACGAAAATATTTGCCAATAATATCTACATACTAGAGACAGCTAAACGTAAGTAGTGTAACGGTTACAAATTTGGCAGTAAGTCGATGTCGAACTTGAGATGCATACTTTTCCCTAACGTGTCTACGGATCTACCTTCTGCCGAAACATTTCCTAAAAAATAGTACATACTGTCCCCAAAATTCATACCCCATAATGAGAAAAAGACTTTTCTCTTAAATTAACACATGATTCCCCTCTATTCACCTACAGTTTCCCACTTTTTTGTCACTTGGGGGTTAAATTTATGGTAGGAAAGGCATACTGAGACCTCTTATTCATGATCTAGCCGAGCTTTAACTTAAACTTACCTCGTAACCTCTTCAAACTTCCGTAAAATCTAGATCGATGGCAGACCATTGGGTTTGACACAGTTGGCTGACACTCATCTCTTATTAGTCTCTTGATGTACAACATGATATGTCTAAAGGATATGTTGACATTATATAGACTGCACTAAAAGAATAATCGAAAAATTTTATAACGAACGAAGCCCACCTATATGGGGCTCAAGTTAAGTCACCTGTAACGTTTAGCCTCTGGAGGGTTTTCGTCTGACTTGAAGGTACTTTATCTGCTGAAGGAGTAAAAGTCAGTCAGTCAACTACAATGTACGACCAGACATACATATACATCGGTTCAACTTGCCAAACATGATTAGCACAACAAGATGAACAATGAATTCATATATGAATTCGTTGTTCTACTATAGTAGTTAATTCAATGGAGGTTATATATTAAAGAAAAATTGTGTATAGGAATTTGCACAGGAATAAAGAATAAGTTCGTAGCAAGAAAGATACACAGCAATTTTGATCTCATAGTTTAAGGAAAGACAGAGAATATATATATACACACAATAGCGATCGATTCTGGGCAATGTTATCCAGTCTCCAACCATTGGTTACGATAGTCACACGGACCTCAACCAAGTACTCTGGATTAACACTGGCATTTCTTACCGCACATGAACTTACGTGTTACAAAGCAGTCTGCTCCACGAAAGTTACAAAACAACTAATAATAAGGAATTACATTCTTCGAATTCTAAAGCCTAAAAGATATTACTGGGTGGGTCGCAAACAAACTAGTCACCACAGCAGATAAACGGAGTTCAAGCAAGCAAGGAATCTATACACTAAAACACTAAAAGATAGCCTCATTATCAAACAAAACTAATCGAATGATTTGTCCCTAATCCAAAAAGCTTAGTCTGTCATGCAGACTATCTTCGGCAAGACAAAGTCGGGGTTTCCCAGCTGTTAGACCCTAATGACTTAACCAACAACGATAGTGGTGCTACAGAAGTCCTGGTGATACAGTATTAAAGGCACGGGAAAACGTCAGAGCCTTTCGAAGTTGCCCGCGCTTTCGTTTCAACGACCTGACAAGAGGCGGTCATTCCGTATTTCGAGTGCCGTGGGTTTGTTGGGTTGCATGGGTATCAAGTGTTTTCACATTTTTTTCATATTTTTCATATTGCTGCGTTAAAAAGCCCAAGATAACCGCCAAAAGCATTAATTTAGCGTTCTCTGTTTCGTAGTGTACACGTTGGCTCTATTGTTGCTTCGTAACTTGATCTGTGATCCCAACTGCTGTAGTAAACCTCAACGAAATGTCAAGTCACCGGCAAGTCTTAGGTCTAAGATGGAGCTGTTAACAGTTTTGACAACACCTTTGCTTAACCACACGGGTCCAAACAGGACATACGGCAAACATGGAGCAATCTTTTGCAATAGTCTATCGTGTCAACAGCAGTCTACCTAATTCCGTCAGACTGCGAATCCTACAGACGGCTGAAGCAATTGCTATTCGAATCAAAAAGCCAGAGCTTTGTATTCAAAAGAAGTATGTTCAGCCACTCCTTTTACCCTGGCCAACTAGCTAATAATCAATCTTATAATGTGGTGACGTAATCTGGTTAATGTTCACTTTATGTCCCAAACTTTATTATTATTATTATTATTATCACTGTTGTTATTATTATTGTCTTTACACTTGATAACCCCCTTTTTGATGAATTTATTCAATATCCACCCCTGAATCTACTATAGTTGACCTAATTATTTTACATATTACGTAATTTCCGATTTGTAATCACAATATTCTCTCTCTCTCTTACCCCATGTTGACCATATTTATTCTGATAATTTATCTCACAATTTTATTTCACTTATAAACTGATTCAAGTTAACACTTTATATTAGTCAGCCCCAACATTAACAATTTTATTTATATAACAAACAATTCCTGATTCACATATTACAATTTCCAAATGATGTATTTTGCCTTAAATCTGGTCAATTTTATGGATTATTAATCTGGATTTATAATTGTAGAACCTGATGAGAAATTATTGAAAAGAATATTCTTCGTTCATACAATTGTGTTTTAATGTAAAGAAGAGGAAATATTCCTGCTCTATGGGGAGACAGTACTGCCGCATCATTAGTGGAAGACGACTTTGGTAAGGCTCAAGTGTTCTCAAACTACTTTAGCATTGTACACACCATAGAAGGACCCTTCCCATCAGTGCACACAGATCCCCCCACAAATACACTGGATAGAGTGACCATTAAAGAACTCGATGTCTTTGGTCTACTAAATAAGCTTGACATAGGTAAATCCACGGGGCCCGATGAATTACATCCTAGGCTACTGAAGGAATTATATAACTTCGTTGCAAGCACTTTAAGTATATGCTTTAACCTATCCGTAACGCAGGATCGTTTACCAAAAGACTGGAAAGACGCCATAGTAAGTCCTGTCTTCAAAACAGGTACGAAACACAAACCTGAGAATTACCGCCCCGTTAGTCTAACTAGTGTGGTTGTTAAAATTTTAGAAAAGATTATTCTTGTCTCACTAACTTATTAGTCACTCGTGAAAGCTGGTGAGCTCTAAAGGACCAAAAGTTACCTGTAGACGTAGCCTACATTGATTTCAGCAAAGCTTTTGACAAAGTTCCTCACAACCGGCTGTTATATAAGTTAAGAAATGTCGGAATTGGAGGCAATCTATTGATGCGAATAAAAGAATTCTTAGTTGGGAGCCAACAAAGAGTACGGATGAACTCAAAGTTATCTAGCTGGGAGACTGTGTTTAGTGAAGTGTCGCAGGGTACAGTTTTGGGGCCAGTACCATTCCACTTGTATGTAAATGACCTTCCTCTTCTACTACCATCATCGGTCTTGCTATATGCTGACGATGTCAAGATATGGAGAACGATACGAAGTAAGGGTGATAGTTTAGATCTCCAAAATGACCTGAAGAAATTATCTGAATGGTCTCAAACCTGGCAGTTGCCGATACATACTTCCAAGTGTGTTGTGATGCATATCAGTCATCAAGGTACAGATACATACACGATGAATAACACTGAGCTACCTGTTGTCCAGACACAATGACTTAGGAGTCATCGTCAGCCAAAACTTAAAGACTATTGCACACTCTCGTACAATAGCCACCAAAGGTTTTAGAACTTTATGGCTTTTAGTCATGTCGACGCTAAAACGTTTTTGACTTTGTATACAATATTCGTACGTCCTAAACTTCAGTACTGCACACAAGCGGCTAGCCCCTGCTTAAAAAAAGACAGTGAGTTTCTGGAAAAGGTTCAGAGAACAGCAACTAAGCTGATTCCCGGAATAGCGAAGCTTCCGTATGAAGCTCGACTGACCAAGCTGAACCTTTTCCCGTTGTCATATCGCAGAACCAGGGGCGACTTGATTACAGTCTTCAAATTGCTTAGTGATAAATTTGCACCTAATATGCCCTCACTTTTCTTGTCTTCCAAAACAGAGAATTTACGAGGACACTTCGAAAAAGCTCACAAGCCGAGAACAAATTGCTTGTCAGCTGACTATCGACTTTCCCATCAAATCATCAGCGAGTGGAATTCACTACCTCAGCACGTGGTTGAGGCTCCATCCGTTGACTCTTTCAAAAGAAAGTTGGATCAACTGAGGGACCACCATTGCCAGTACAAACACAGGCCATCAAGCCTCCTATCCTTCCCAAACTGAAACTGAACAAGCGTTTCGCATGCTGGGACAACTTCGGTGGCGCGCTAAAAGAGGTCTAAAAAGTATGGAAGAATAATTTTATCCCTTCTCAGACTACCCATACTCATTAAATCCACATGGAAACCAAGTTGCTGAAGGATGTCAGGTTCAAATACCTGTTTGTTACGTCTCACTGTACATTTGGTCATTAGCGCGATTCGGAAGGTTTGGAAGTGTATCAAAAATGTGGAAACTTTAACCAGTATCTGACGTTGAAGGCCTAAATTCCTTAGTTGCCAATCAAAGTTCCGTGTAAGAATGGAGGATCAAGGATATGTCATAGAATCCTACAAGATGAAAACGGCGACCGGTTGTTTATGTTTGACTGTGGACAGCATTATGAAGTGGATGTAAACACTTGTGAGTTCAATTGTAGACTATTTGTTACGTGTCGACATCCTTGCCGCCATACGCTACTGGCCTGTGTTAAAAGACGAACTATTACAGGTAAGCTTAATTAATCATTAAATATAAACTGTATAGCTTATCAACTTCTTAGGCATTGCAGCAGATGGAAGCTAAATGTTACGCAGAACTTCCAACATAACACAACAGTTGCATTACCGAGACTGAGTGATGAGTATATAAGGATTCTACGAATCCAAAGATTTTACAGTCACCACATCATTGAGAGATATGCTGAAAGCTCGCGAAAATAAACGTGATACGGAAAGAAAACTGTTTATACCTGATAAATAACGACATCCCAAAACCCTCGATAGTATGTTACATTTGCGCGAAAACACGTGGTGTAACAGACTGACTGGGCTGCATTAAATATTCTCAAAAGTTAACTTAAGTGCAGGATTAATGTATCAGAAAGTGAAGCATCTAAACACGGACAGTTTTCATAAAGCGGATATTGTTCATTTCGAGAGAGGCAACTTTAATCCTAGCAACACAGTTTAGTGTGATGTTCTCACACTCACTAGGCCAAGACACAGTACTAGAAAATTAGAATTGGGGGCACACCACACTGATTTCCGAAAATGACCCCCTCAATGAAATTTTCGAGTTACCGGCTGGAAGCACTTATCTAGGTATCGAAAACGTTTATCACCACGACAACGCTGTCCAAAGAAAATTCACTTATACATAACTAATCAGCTGACTTCAGTGGGCTGATAGACAACAATTCTAGATCGCAGGGCGTGGATAGATGTTATATACCTTAACTTCCCAAAAGCTTTTGATAGGTCCAGTGATACGTATCATCAATAAACTCAAACAGTTAAGTGTCAGATCACTCTAATATTTTGGCCTACTTCATGTCTGA